GATACTGCTGATACAAGATCACAGATCTTGAATTCAACTGGACCATACTTGGGCTGGTAGGGAGGCCTGGGAATAGATCGAAACAGAGTTGGTTTAGGATCTGGTCTGATGGCAACCTTCAAGCCAACCAAAGTGGACAGATGGGAGCCTAGATTGTCCCACAGGAAGATCCTTTCCTCATCAGTGTCACCAGGCACCGGATTGGTCTCGATGTCCTTGCAAATCCTATCAATGAAATGGGCAAAGACTGTAGCAGAGGTGGCCACTTGCTGAATCACATTGATCCATCGCCTTGGATTTTGGATACTTCCTCTAGTTGCTGGAGGCAAACGCGGATCCCCTGCTTCCACAGCCAGGATGATGGTGAGCTTTTGGGTCCTCTGATAGGCTCCAGGAATCCTTGCTCTAAAGCACTTGAGCGCGATTCCTTTTTTCCCCTTGCTGGTCTTTGTCATATCCATCCCAAACTCATCCACATCAATGAATCTCCTCCTAGGAACTCCCACCACTCCAAGAGGAGGGGGCTTGGTCCAAAAGATCTTAGACCTCCACATACTCTCTGGGCTGAAGGCTTGATAGGCTTCTTTTGACGCGTTCTTCCTTGTAAGCTCCATCTTATTCAACCTCCTGCTGATTAGCGAATTAGAGTAGATTGGTCCTCCCATATTGAAAATATGAGTAGCAATCTCATCATTGCTTGCATCTGGATAGATCCACACAAACACAACCATGTTAAAGAGGTCCTTGCCCACCAGTTTGCTCTGGCTCCTATTGCCAGTTCTCCTATAGCGCTGAGGCCTCTTTGACCATCTCTTGACAGAGGATTCACTAGTAGCAATGGCAGGAGGAAGCCCAGCAGCTTTCCTTTCCAGTTCATACTGTCTGATGTGGGCATCATATCCCCTACTCCCTCCCCTAGAAGGATGAGGCCTTTCAGCTCTTTCTTGCTGTGTTAGTCTTGATAGACCAGCATTGGCTCTGATCCTTGCAACCTCGTCCGCTGGATCCTTTCTGCTCATGATGATTGCCGACGTCGGAAGAAGCAGTCTCGTCGTAAAAAAGAAGCAACACTAATCAAACTAAATAAGGACTTCTACTGGGTCCTTTTCTATGGTTCAAGGCTTGTTCAATCGACAATCGAATAGATCTATCGATTGATACCAAGTACAGTTAGAAAGAGTGAGTGGAAGTGCTTGGAATAAAGTGATTCCCATGGTGAGTTGCTTTGAACCGGTTAGTTTTTGATTGAATGAAAAGAACAGTTCTAAATTGTGCTGGAAGGAAGTTTTCAGGTAAAGACGCTGGGACACAGTACATTTTTGAACGCGTGATAAAAACCCTTCTATTTTGAGCAAAATGAGCAGTCTACCCCCTTGATCCACGATTTTCTACAGGATTTTCTACACAGCTTTGTACTAGGATCCATCCAAATAGATCATTTTGCTCCTCGCTGAGCAGCTTGCTGATCAGCTGGATCAGCAGCTGCTGGCCTGCTGGCGTGCCACCAACGGGTACAGTACAGATTGTACGTAGGCCTACGTCCGTAACGTCCGGAATGTTAACACTAACATTCGGAATGTTAACGCTAACATTCGGAACGTTAAATTAACGTTCCGAACGTCTTAATTAACGAAAGTTCAATTGTTATTTTACGCGTAGTATTGCACTTCGTACTCATACTAGTATGGTACGTACTGCTCTTAAGTCGAACGTGTGTGAAATGTAGAGCTAAATAAGACCACCCACCGCACAGCTACCTTTGCTTTGGGTACGTACGAGTAAACGATAGACGACTACGTACAAGGTACGGTACGTAATGAAACCAGAAACTACAGCAAAAATAATTTAGGCGCGCTCATTTGTGTCGTGTTCTCGTCCTTGTTTAATGTACGTACTGTACGACAGTACGTACGTAATAGGTCTTCGCAAAAGCCATGTTGTTGAAAAAAATTGGTGGCATGTGTCACGCCAACCGGTGTGCTGCAACACCAAGACCGAACCTGTCTTTCAAAAATACCATCGCGAAAGATACACGGTGCTTGAAGAGACGACAAYACGGAATCGTACCGAAGTTCGCAGTCCCAACAACAAAAAATCAACAGCAGAAACATAGAATACTGGGCGAATACACAAGAACAACGATGTGGCTAAACTACTTGATCGCGGCGTTCCAGGTCCTCTTTGTCTTCACTAGTTTCACAGTGGAACGAGAATATTGCCTCGCTCCGCTGGACCCATCCAGCTCGACACCCTTCGTAAAAGACGCCTACGAGTTTGGCATCTCGTATAACCCATTGTTTCATTCACGTCCCGACTGGCTCGTAACCGCCACCTGCCTRCACGCGTACGGCTTTTGGATACTYTATTCGATGATATTTTACCTCGCGGTCACGGATGGGTGGGCGGGTTCAAATTCGCCTGCCTGGTTCCGTCAGGTGCTTTTGCCGACCTTGCTGGGGTGCAAGATGAACGCGATACTTTTTTATCACTACATGGAGTTTACCTCGGACCTGCCCCCGCCCAATCTGCTGCCGTACTTTGGCTCCGAAGGGAGYTATCTAGTCTCGATTGGGTTGGTATTCTACAAGCTTGCTGCTGCCGCTTCGAGAGATGTTACAGCAAAGGGTGAAAAAAACGATTGAGCAAAAKAACTTGTTTTCACCTAAAATGCTAAATAACTTTTTCGACGGATCATGAGATAAAGTACATCGGCATTGCTGTATTCGGACTACACTTTCAGGAACARTATTGATACAAAACGCATCCTATCATACAAGTGATTTGTTCTTGGTCCATATATCCATGATGTTATCATGTTATGCCTTTTCAAGTGAATTTCGACCTTTTTGTATGATAAGTTCCATCTTCATTCTAATTTCCATCATTAGGATCCTTTTTCTTGTAAGAGGAAGAATGAGTTTCCTCAGCAGCATGGTCTAAAAGATTGCAGTGGTTCTTCTGAACCGAAACAAACCATAATGTGCTCATGCAGCTCACCTCTGAAATCAAATGTAGAAGGGGTGGGGGAATCTTTTCTCTCCTCAGTCTCTGGTGATAATAATAGGTTCTTGTAGGAATAGTCGTACTATTAGTAGTAGTAGTAGTAGTACTAGTACTAGTTGTCTGGTAGGTTCACCATCAGTCACGGCACTAGGCTTCAGAAATCATATACTGTACTAAACTAATACCAGTACTCGTACTATCTACTGTAGAACGAGACCACCAAAGCATGGAACGTTATTGAATTGGGCGCCACAAGACAGATTTACATCTATTCACAATACCAGAACGAATTTAGACCCCTGGGAGCCCTAGTTTACCGGTACGACTGAAGACTGTTGGCAGTGGTAATAGGTACAGGTACGAGGTTGGAAGGCAAATGTGTGGACCGAATGTGTGACAGGTTTTAGTTCCAAAAAAACTGCGCAGTTTTTCTAGTAAAAAAAATAAAACCAGCACGAGGGTTGTCTCACCCTCCAGACAGAGCTATTAGGGACACTTCCACTCCACACATGTACTGGAATAACTTCATTATTAAGAAGAAGGGGATCCGGAATTCTCAGAATGATCAGCCAAGTGGTTTTTTCTTAAGAGCCCTCAGTATCCCCAAGGTGTGTAGAATCTTACATAAAAATTAGTACTACCAAATATTTCGATATAAAAATACTTAATGTTTTTTTTTAAAGTGAGACAGGTTCATGTTGCGAAGGCAAATGAGGTGTATTGTTCCCTCCGTAGAGCTGTGTACAATTTGTACTGACTCCGGACCTGTCACGGTCTCATTTGCCTTCCAACCTCGTACCATACATACCGTACCGTACGTACAAAGTACTATTATTTATCATTTCTTCTTTTTCTTATGGGATTTGGCGATGATGACAGTGAAATCGCCAAAACGAGCCAAATGGTTTGTTACTGTACGTAATTCGAAGAATCTGGAATGACAGAAATATTTGTTTAAAAAAGCATATTTAATATTTCAATTTTTCATAKTAATCGAAAACGTTGATTGAGCCCTTCAACTTTTTTTCAAATCCAGATTCAATCACGTAGAATTTTTGCATAGATTCAAAAAACATAGCCATTTAAACTTGGCGCCCTGAGACGATATATCGAGTCCCATATTGGAGAGCGAGCCTTTCAGTTTTYTAAGTTTTTCTCCAACGCTCGATGATATCTGTTAACCACATTGAATACTAGCAAAAATTGTGGTAATCATTCATTGATGTCGTCTTTCCACAYAGTCAACGGTCAAGTAACACTCGATCGCAAAGAATCGCTCAACAAAACTAATCATATCTCAACGTGTTTATTTGGAGCACACTACAAGTTGGTCGATACAGTGAACGTTACCATTATTATTTCCAGTTTCACGTGAAGCAACCGACGCACAAGTAGCGATAGATTGTCCTAACRTAACTCCTCAGTTCAATAGAAGCAGACATTTCGAAAAGAAAACAAGCATCATCGATCAAAACAGATTAGAGCCAAAAATAGAAGCAATAGCAAGCAAGACAATGAACAGGTTCCAATATATTATCTTTTTCCTCGGGGCATTGATGATGATCAACACACCAACGGTGTTGGGGTCGTCATCGACGCTAGAAGTTGCAGACACGAAGAGAGCAAGCCTCGAACAAATAGACGTAAAGAAACGCATTTTGAGTAAGTTCACGTTCTTAGTGTGGTTTGTGCCCATGATGGTACCTGCATCCCTTTCCTAGTTCCGCAACAATGGCTCACACACCAGCCCCCTTTTTATCGATGGTCATCTCTTCACAGGTAGCCCCCACCCTCATCCATCAGTCCCCAGTAGCGGTGGTAGCTCTGGAGGAAGTAGTGGTAGCAGTTCCAGTGGTGGCAGTTCAGGTGGAGGCAGTTCAGGTGGAGGCAGTTCCAGTGGTGGCAGTTCCGGCGGTAGTAGCTCCGGAGGAGGTAGTAGTGGTGGAGGAGCTGCTGCAGCCAATGCCTCGAACTTGGCCAGTCACAATGCCCAGAAGGGTGTGGGGCTCATGCTCGGTATTGCGGCTGTGGCTGGCATGGTCATTGCTGCGGTTGTAATTCCCAGAAGAAAGACTGCGACAGAGGCGAAGCATCCACTGAAAGGAAGTCTGAACAAACGAATCGACTTGTTTGCTAACTTGGCAAAACACACATCSTCGGCGGAACGACCTCCACGAAGGGACGAAGAGGGACGGTATATCAATGCCGACTCGATCGTTTAGAGCGCTTCTTCTATAGGGTCTCGTAACGTGTGTGTTCWGCTTTCGCTCCAAAAGGTTCTGCTGAAAACSATCTTGTACGACCGGTGAGAGAGATGTACAATCCTTCCTCTCTATCCTCCCCTTCSATATGGTCTCAAGGTCGTGCTGTAACTCGGTAGATGCATCCATGAACTCTTCATGGTATGGGACACACAATGCACAAGCATTTATTTCACATGTATTTTTATCTATATCCGTTGTTTCCACTAGACATTCTATTAAAACCCCATGGTTGTGAACGATTCACAGATGTCACCTAAGAAATTAATRAACTTTTAGAACGAAGTAGACGCTCTTTAGTAACCTTTCTTTTAATAATCAAGAAACAGTTGTAGTCTAGTTCTTCGAATTTCTCCTGTAAGAATCGCATGAGGAGCATGWATATGGTTTCGTGTTTTATGTATTTTTCCTCCTGATCAAAAAGCAATACAAAAATAATGATATTTTGAGCTACCCCCACAGTGCCCTTGCTATGCATTTTTAGTGGTCTCCTTGTAGGAAACAAGAAAATATTTGTAGGCATCATGKTCTCAAACTGAGGTTACCTTATTGCTACCATTCGAGCTTCTGGAATCCAAGAAACCTAACGCCGCTTTGAAACCAATGTTTACTGCTCATTGTTGTTGGTTTGCTCTCGTCGTTGTTGATACTCTTCGAGTGCCGCCGCCTTTTTCATTCTACGTGCCATCAGTTCTTGTTTGTGTGCCCGCAGCATATGGGTCAAGCAYTCTTCCTTGTATCTTCCCGGCGGTTTCTCGCAACACACCAATGCAGCCGTGACGAACCAAAGCACGGTGGAGGCAATCCCGCACTCGGCTCCGATTCCCATTTCGCATGTTTCCTCAAATGTATCACCGAGACGACCAAAAATCTTTTCGTTGTCATCGATCACTCCCAATATTGGATTGTCAAGACACACCGAGGATGAAAATATCAGCAGGCTCAATCCCTGGAAGACGGAGGTCAGGAAAAAGAAAAGTCCATAGCATTTCCATTGCATGACGCAAAGGATTCCACCATTCGGAACGCTGCAAACGATCAACATCATGACCAACCCCAATGMAAAGGCAATGATTGCCATTCCCTGAGCTGCCTTCATGTAATCGGCACCCTTATAAGAGAATTCTGTCTCCACGCCGGCGAGCTTCATGTCCTCTCCGAGCGTGCCGTATCTACGGCAAACTTCCCACATTTCCATCGAATTTACGCTCTCGTCATAGTTGGTAGTTGTATCCGAAGACGTCGAAGACTCTTCAAATGGATTATTGAAATCCACCCCCACAAACTCGTATCCAAAAACGCCGCTGTTGAAACTCCCGAGTGTCGCACCGTCCACCGCCGTGCTGACTTGTGGAAAGGTCACCGTAGAACAACCAAAATTTTGAATGCATCCCAAAATCAAAGCCGACATTCCAAAGGTCAAGATGAATAGAAACGCGATTGGACTATGAGTTTGATGGAGAGTTGGCAAATTGTAGGCAGGGATAKTTGCACATCGTGCGTGAAGCAAACGTAGTTGGCAATAAATAACAACAACAACATCGAAACGAAATGAACAAAGGGAGAATAATGATGAACAATCGTTGAAAACCGACGTTAGGTGCAGCCATTATAACGAAAAAGGCGATTTTAGGATAAAAAGCAGACGCTATGTGACTTACAMACTATCATGTGTTGCCTCGCTTCTCCTCAGTGAATTATCGTCAGAATCRCCTTCTTCTATCGTCATGGTCCCCAAATTCTCAAGCTTCATCGAGCAGTTGTATCGAAGCTACCGAAACGACGTGGTGTTCTGAGAATGTTTTCTGCAGCTCTTCTCAATTACCAATGCCTGTTAGAGATGGACGCAAGACGGTCCCCGGTACACATGCTTTATTTTCACTGAAAAGAGGAAATCAAACTTCAATGATATTTTAAAAAGTACCKTAATTTATGGTATCATTGGAATATACCGTATTTTTGGTTTTTGTTAACATTTCTACTGCAATGTTGAGTGTTCAGTTTGACCAGTTCGTTGGATTAACTTTTCCCCGTCGCGTGTTGCCAAAAGGAGTACGACGAGTTACTAGTGTTCGTACGACTCATACTATTCTAACCTTGACGAGCATGATGTCACAATCGTGTACCATTACACGTAGTTTTACTCTTCGGATCTTTGTTTTCACGTTGATGTTTTCCGGGAATCAAATCACCAAAACGCCGCGACAAACTTCAACCGTGCTGACAGAACTCTATTTTTGACTGGAAGCATGTCAACTCCCTCCAAACTTTGCTGCATATGAATCCTATCACAACATACGAACTGTAAGACGAGAAAATCCGAAGAGTGAATACTAACAATGTCGGAAAGGTAATCTGAGTGCGATCGGTTCAAAATGTTTTTCTATTATTTTACCAACTATGTCAGGTTTTGGATATTGCAATTTTTTTTGCAAAAGTGAACTGTAGCGATGTGATGCAGCATCTTAAAGGCGAACCATCCATGTATTGAGAATGATTGGTTTTCTGCAGCATGGCTGTGCATCACGATTTGATAGTATGTACAACGGCAGGTGCAGTCAGAGATGCTTTGTTTCTTTTTCATCTTCCGTCCCGTTAATGTATTCTTCCATCCAGGCTACAGGATTCAACTCGCTTCATTGCCGCGAGGCATACTTGATCCGTAGAAGCGGTTCTATGGCATTCTTGAAGCATGCTCGTTACGTCTCGACAATTAGATAGATTGTTGTTTGTCAGCATTGCCATCACGACGGGAGCATTGGTCCAAGTAGCCGTTCTCCGGCGTCGAGTCAGGGCGTTATCAGAGGAGGTTGCGAGAGGTTGACAAGTAGATGAAAGCGTCATTGTATCGTATTCTTGTGATGCAGTGTATGAAGGTATCAAATAATGAATTCTGGCTAGTGGGTTATGCTTGTCGGGAGTGATGTCGGTGTGGGTTGTTCTTTTTTTGGTTCGGTGTGGGTTGTTCTTTTTTTGGTTCGAAAAGAATTTTATGCGAAGAGTTTCGACGAAAACAATCACAAACGAATTCGAACCCAACGAATAAGAACTTTGTGATAAAAAAAATGATCGCAGTTGACACGACGTAGTGCCCCGACGTAGTGCCCCGTGTCTAGACGGTTTTGATCTCGAAGGTTTAGAGACGATGTCGTAATAGTACTTTGAACTACGTTGATCTATTGGTACAGTAATGTTCCCACGAATTACAGTACGCAAGTCCAATACTGTACCGTACTACGGGAAGAAAAAGAATTAGTCACAGACGTGTCACTAATTAAAGCACCTACTTCAAGAAACTACAATATTCATTCTTGATTTATGAGGAAAAAAGAAATCGAAGAAGCTCGAAGAATTTTTTTGTCACATCAGTTGTACGTTACGGGAAGGTACTCGTACTTTTTTACTTTTTCGTGCGGGACGCAAGTCTGTCAAAAAAACCTTTGGTACGCTCTACTTCGAGAAGTAGTACCGTACCTACAGTATTCGAATCGCAAGTGAATGCCCCGTACAACATTCGTGGTTACCAATTTTTGGTCGCGAACCGTCGAAGCATGTTGGGAGTATTTTTTTGAACTCTTCAAAATGAGTTTTTAAATATCGTCTTGCGACAATGCCATATCGAGATGGCGCAACATCACCCAACGATACGGTGATACTGACAATAACCAATGCAGTAATGCAATACGCACGCAACTAACCACAGCGTAATAAACCAAACGAGATGATGAGGGGAAGCATGATTGGACCAACTGTTTTGGGCGTTGGAACAATTCTTGTTTCGTCCATGTTCGCCGTCTTGAAATCACTGAACAGCGTAAATCCCGTAATACGTGCATCCTGGAGGCTTCAAACCACCTTTCTCGCGCTTGCTGCACCCAGCACTTTGTTGCTTTATCTCGATGCCAGAAAAAAACATGACAGTCACATACAGTGTGTCCGAGCGAATCGTGCAATTCTCTCTCTGCTTCCGATGGCGACGATATGGTCGGGATGCGGATACGCTTTGTACAACGTAGGGCTGTGTATCGCTCTGGCAAAAACTTCTTTGCTTCGTGCGTCCGTCTTGTCGCAATGCGCACCACTGTTCATTGTTCTATACAATATGGCTCGCATTCGATACTATCGTTCTCGATCGCATCTGGCAAAAACAGGAAACGGAGACAGCCAAGAAGAGGTGCATTGGAAGCACGCATTAGGAGTTGTGCTTACTGTTGTGGGGACGGGCATCTATGTTTCATCGATGACATCCGCAGACGCAGACGCAGACGCAACAGGCATAATCACAGGAAAAACATCCCCAACAATATTCTCTAGACACGGAGAGAGCTCTGCTTCTGACATTGACTTTCGATCGCATCTGATTGGGGACTTCGCTGCAGCAGCAGCCAGCGCGGGGTACGCTACCTACATATCCTGCGGCCGACAAGCACGGCGTGTGGTTCCAGTCTACGTACACCTCCCCGGTTGTGTCTTTGTTGCAATGGTTCTTATTTCAGTCTGTGCAATCACAATGACGGCAACAATGAATGTGTCAGATGTTATCTCGTTGTCGGCGTCGRTAGTAGCTCCCGACGCAACGATCCTCACTAACCGCAGCGATAACGACTTCTGCTCTAGTTTGTTTGGATGGACGTGTCGAGAGTACCTTCCCCGTAGCATCTTTCTGGGTGTGGTGTGTGGAGCCATCGCCGTGGGTATGATCAATTGGTCGTTAAATCATGTTTCTGCTCTCCAGGCTGCCGCTGCCAACAGTGCGGAGCCCATCGCAGCTTCCATAATTGGGATTGTGTTCTTCGCGGAGCCCTTGCCAAATTTTACCGCTATTCTGGCTGCTAGTGTGATTGTAATTGCCATGGTTCTTTGTTCCACCGATGCCACCACTAGCGGCAAGACCAAAAACAAGTCCGGCGATGAAGACGGTGATGCTGCGGACACATTACGAGAACAATCAGCAATTTGTGACGAAACGACTCCGTCAAAGGGTAAGAAGGTGATCTCGGCGCGCGCGCGCAAGAGCCTTCCAGAAACTTGCTAGCCCTCGTGATTTCCGACTTATTCGACTTTTTGACAGTACATACTGGGAAGTTAAAAACGGTACGAACTGTGCGGTATTAGGAGACTYATTCTGTACACAATGGGTCCCAATAGTACGCTTCGGACGTACTATTAGAATTAGGGTTATTTTTTCTTCGTTACTGTATTTTTACGTGCGTCATTATTCGTTTGTGCGCGCAAAAATCAATTTTTATTTRTTGAAAAGAAAACATCAACTCAGTGTGGGACAAACGCCAACAAATCGCCAACGTTATCTCCTCTCACTRACGATACTATTTTGCAGGTTCCGCTGCTGATCGCACATATACCAGAATTGGAAGCATCCCCAGCAATATTGGTGAAGAAAATAGAAAAACAACAATGAAGACTTTTGCAACCACCACCRGTTTGATGATCGCCATCGTCATCAGCCAAATGACTCTGTCGTTCGCATTCACTATTCCACAACCCATCTTASGAGCGTCAMACCGGTCTGAAAGAAGCCTATCGAATGACAACTATAGACCATTGTTCATGGCTCAAACTGAGGGCGGTGACAACGAAGTYGTGGAATTGGTCGACGATGAGGCAGAAGAACCGCAAGCCGCCTCGGACTCAAAAGCCGTAGCAACCGCTCCCTTTCTCAGCCAGGGAGAGATTTCCGAGGAAGCAATGGAAATGGACTGGAACGATCCAAAGCAACAACGAGTTATGTTTTACATCATTTTATCCCTCCTCCCAGTTCTKTTCTTGATTCCTCTCATGCTTGGATCCCGTGATTTGATCCCTGCTGATGTATTGCCACCTGTCGAAATGAGTTTGTTGCTCTAGAACAAAGAAATCAAAAACATGAATGATCATTATTATTCCGATATCTTCCAAGGCTCGTCAAAACTCTGACGATCTTGCCTTGCTGATGCCATTTGGACTCTACAAACGGTTCTGTATCCTGAACTGATTCTGTACGTGTTCTCCTTGGATTTTGGAGGGAAATCGATTTTCACACTTTATGAGGTGTACTCAATTAGATACACCAGGCAAGCAATTCAGTAACATTCATACCAGTGCCCGCTTTCTGAGTCATCCGTCTCGGCACGGAACGACGTCGATACAATCTAATTGCCACCAGAATTAGTTCCTCAGATATCACCTGAATTACACCATGATTAATCGAATATATGAAAACAGCAAAAAGTAAAATTGATTACGTTTTCCCCTCGATAACAGATTCGAAAGAGTCTATTGTTCAATTTGATGAATATTATCGAGGTTATTCGTTATTTTCTATCTTAACAGCGAAAGCTATGACTCATCGTTGCTACACGAGAAATTCGATTATTCGTCACCCTTCACCTTCTTGATGGCATCGTCGAAGTCTTGTCCCTTATCGGCAGCATCGAACCTGCAGCAATTCATAAAAAAATTAAAAAAAATAGTTAGCACGATGATTGGATTGTCGGGGTTTGTAAAATAAAACCAATGTCGAAAGGAATATATCCGGCGTCGCGTCCTGTATTATTTCKAGACGCATCACCAAAATTCCCACTCACATCTCAAACATTTCCCCTAAGTCCAAATCAAGACCGTCCTCTTCATCGGGTTCGGCATTGACCTGTGWAGTAGATACCTTCGCAGTGGTGAAGGTGGCGGGTGGGGCAAAAGCCGAAGCAGAGGAAATCCCAACGACAAGGAGAGCAAGAGACAATTTCATTTTCTTTGTTTTGATTCACTGGAAATTTTATTTTTGAATGATGCGGTTGGAAGGATTCGGACCAACTAGCGAACAGGTCGGATTTTCAGTTGCGCTGAGCAACTACAAGCGGAGACGTGCCCGTACCGGTACACCTGCATGCTGGAGGCGCAAACCCCTGGGGTATCGCTGTTGTTCCGGGAAAAAAGAGATTCTCGACTTGATTTGAGTTGAACAAAATTTTAATATGCGTCAGCGACGAAAAACAATGAACAAAATTGAAGGGATTCAATGTGATTACACGTGGAATAACGGGGTTTTTGTCGGGAAACTCGGGCCTGCATGATTGGGTGATTCCCGTTAATAGAAATGCTAAGTTGATAGACAGACAGACCAAAAATCTATCACATGTTGTCATAGATTTACCATTTTTAGGATGGGTCCAACGACCCCATCCAAAATTTGCTAAATCTATGATGGAACTCAATAATCAAAATTTTGTATGTAAAATTCAGCAGAAACGCCTACCAGTACTACCCACCCATTTGTGGTTTATTTGTTCAGCATGGTGTTGATGGGCTAGTACTACTATTCCTTGTTGTGGGTTCTCCAACCMGAAAAGTGAGGGTTCTTATTATATTTTGCAAGTGCATAAATACACAATAAATTTGGAACATAGTAGTTTAGCTGCTACAAAAACTCCGACTCAAATGTTTACTAGCACCAGTAAACATCAAAGAAAACTTCCCTCAACAACAATGAAGTACTACTAATCTACTAGTGTGATTCATCTCATTTGTTGTTACTTCAACAGACCAGGTGCTCCAATTGAGAGACAGCAGCAGCAGTTCCTGGTATTATTAGTCAGGGGTCATAAATTAATAAGGGGTGCTCACTGYATCAAGAAAAACTCATATTCCATCTTAGGCAGGAATAAGAAAAATTTCACCCCAGTTTTTGTTTTTAGTAATTCTTATTTCCTCTTTTACTAAATAGTACTAGTACTGCATAGTACTAAAGTGGTTTACTAGAGACAAAACTGATGGTATACTAGAAASTATAGTAAAAATTACAATAGTAGTATTTGTGATAAAGTTGTGACTAGTAGTACTACTTATAAGAAGTTGGATAGTTTTAGTGGCGTCATGMAGTAAATATGAGACATAGAAAAACTTGGGGTGAAATTTTTCTTATTTCTGCCAAGGACGGAATACAAGTTTTGCAAAAACTGCTGCAAAGAATGATCATGCTGGGTACCCCCTCCCTCAATTTATGACCTCTGTTTGTAGTACTGTATGAGAATACGAGCTGTCCAAGACCTACTGTCCAATGGGAACAAAAAAAGAGACTGCGGCCTTGGTCTAAGTGTATCAATCAGATGCTCCCTGGAGTAATATTAATTTTCCATATCCAATTCGTTATTGCACAACTCCGCATTTTCAGCTACTAGCTTCTGATAATGATAATTAATATATTAAATTCATCAACGCACGTAGCCGTCGAAATTCTACGTTTCAGATGGATTTTCATTGAAACCTTGTTGGACTCGATCAAAAGAATAAAAGATTCGTCAACCGTTGAAAGTTAAGCATGATCTAAAGAAGCAGTCAGGTTGTAGAATAAACTAACTATGGAAAGTCGTTCATCAGAATGATACAATACAATCGGATGGAATTCGATATCGAAGTTTCGGACCAGGCTTGCAATCTACGACGTAGCATTTCAAACAACAAATGCTTCAAAAAGAGAATCACAGCATAAATGAACATAAACGTRAAGCGTCCTCGKGCCATTTCTATTTTCCTGTCGTTCTGAATGCTCTTGCTACTTTTAATCCAGGACCCATGTTTTCAGCAATTGGTCGATCCCTCCCGATACCATGATTGGCAGTGTGTGGTGCATGTCCAGCGATGATACGAAATGACCATGTGCATTTTCCAGCGTGCGTAAACATCTTTCGGCCTTAATATCAAAGACGCGAATCGTTCGGTCGTCCCCACCGCTGATAATGTAATTTCCCGATGGGTGGATCACAACCGCCTTGACCCAGTTCTCGTGKGCTGAAAAGACAGCGAGGCACGAAGCAGAGGCCAGCGACCAAAGACGAACGGTTCGATCCCGGCTTCCACTAGCAAGGTAGTCCCGAACCGTGTCCTTATGTTTGGCGTTGCTTCCAGCTCTGTCCTTCCCAAAGGATTCTTCCGTGACAAAGGAGAGCGATTCTATTACGTGGTCGTGTCCTCGCAATTCGCACAATTTTTGACGAGTGTTGACGTTGGCATCGTATACGTTTATGAAAGGGTCGTTACCCGCAGATGCCCAGATGGCTCCGTCGTGCGATCTCACGGCTAGCGTCCGAACCCAGTCGGTGTGGTCGGTAAAGGTATGGTCGCAAAATCCAGTTTCCATGTCCCACAATTTGACGGTGTGATCTCTGCTCGCGCTCAGCAAGTGTTTTGCGTTTGCTGCGGCAACATCCATGCCAGTTGATGAATCTTCCGAAGCCGACGGAATGATATTTTGTTGAGGAAGGAAAACAATGGAAGAAATAGTGTGATCGTGTCCCCGCAACGTTCGCACACAGTTATAGGTAGAAAAATCCCATAATTTGATGGACAAATCACTAGAACATGATGCCAAATAATTTCCAGTCGGAGTGAAAGCAAGCGAATTCACAGTGTTGGTATGACCCTTCAGGCTCCTCATGTACTCCCCACTTTCATGGTCCCACACCTATCATGAACATAAGAGTGTGAGATACGTATCTGTTCAGATTCATGAAATAAATTGCATTCGACAAAAACTCAAATTATTGATAGCAAAATTGCAAAAACCAACCAACTCACTCACCTTGACGGATCCATCTTCGCTTCCACTGACGACTACAGTAAAGACCGGATGAACCTTCAGGCAGGTAACCGCYGCGGAATGACCCTGGAGGGTATGACTACAGGGAAGCCGGGGCAGCATGCGTCTCGAAACTCCACCATTTGCCTTGGCATCGTCTCCTCCTCCGGTGCGATGGGCGTGGATTTTTGCGCTCTGTGCGACGACCCGCTCCAACTCCAAAACCTTCTTTTGCAACCTAGGAATGGCCGTCCACTTTTTCTCGAGGAGGGGCGTCTTCCCGACGTTGTTGGTCTTCTTTTGCGACGCCTTGGGGTCYGCTTCTACAAACGCCTTTGCTGCAGCCTCGAATGCTTCTCCACGATTGACCAGGTATTCGTAAATCCCCGCATGYAGGTCCTCTCGTTGCCGATCTGTCAGGACCATGATTAGAAATAAAAACTGCTACCTTGTTCTTGCCTTGTCGTCGCTGCAGGGTCACTTACGATTACGGCGGAATACTAATCGATCGAGTTTGATCCACCGTGTGCTATTTGTGTCTCGGATGAGTTTGGTTGTTTGATAAWTTGAATACTCTTCAAGCACTTCGTAGTCGACAGTTCAACTTTTTTCAGAAGCAAGTTACTAAGTCTCTTTGCCTACTACTCGTTACTCGTGCCAGTATCAGACTTCATGAATCGACGTTGTTTGGGTACGGAGTATGAGTTAGATCTGTACGGTACTTGGTACGTAGTTTGCGTTCGTGTTACGACTTTTGTCGACATCTTACTACCMGTACGCAACTACCAATGCGCACATAAGCTTACGACATTTTTGAAAAAACAAAAACTTGCTTTCCCATCGTGACCACAGACAAAGACGGTCTCCTCCACCCAAACATGTTTTTGAATTGAGGGCGGGCCCTGCGCGCTACGCCGCGCACGTATTTTTGTCAACGCTCCAATGGCGCGTGACACAATCTCGTCAAAGCTCCAAAATGACCGTTTAGATTTTTGATCCCTAGGACTGTCTCCACAGAAGTCAACAATACTTATGACGAACCCTTCCCACCGGAACGACTGATTTCGATGATTTGAGGCACGAATTCAAAATTTTGCGACGTCGTTCCATTAAGAATAGTAAAATCTTTTGAGCACCGCTCGCACTACTACATCGACTGTGAGACATTTTGCAAAAGCTGARTTGTTCCGTTTGAACCGAATAAAATCGAATCGTATCCCCAGAATCGATAGCACAAAATGAGAATTCAAGCTTCCTCAATAGCCGGCGTATTGTTGGTGCTCACGATCGCAACAACCAAGGCAAGAAAAACCGACACGGACAAAGAAGGGGGCAGACAAAAGAGCCCTGATTTTGATGATGGGAAAAACGACAATGAAGGATCCTGCGGTCTGTATATGGCTACATCGTCTACGTCAATCCCGAGTGACCACAAATGGGGGGTCTATGCCGGAAAAGACATTCCTGCCAACTCCCCAGTTGGATTTGGAGATCTAGCCATTCACACCTTTCACCTTATGGCCAACAACATCTGGCTCGACGAGGAGGAGGAAATTCATGACGACCTCGACGAAAATGAATTAGCCAACGTTGTCGATTGGTTCGAACAGTTCGTTTGGGTTCCTCATTCGAGTGGTGGGCAGTTCGAGATCGAAGATACGGAGTACGGTGCCAAGGTGGTGTCTGCCGTACCAGGAATTGGAGTCGTTGGGGGTTACAACCCGAAGCTTACGAACGCAGATTGGAATCATTCCAGTGCCTATCACCGGGAGGCCTGGAAYGAGTATCCAGGAGAAGCACATCCCGGCAGGGGGGCTTATAGCAATTATTACAACTTGGAGGTTGCGTCGACAGAGGTTATTCCGGCCGGAAGAGAAATTTTCCTCCAGGTATGTATTTTATCCTGGCGAAATATGCAGGATATTAGCCAAAAGCAGGTCGCCGAATCATAATCATTGAAGATTTGCGCTGAACTCAACATTTTTCTGAAACCAATTTTCTTGCATCATTGATTTGAAAGTTTGGAGACAACTGGGACGAAGAGAGTGGAGAAAAAGAGAAGGAAATGTTGACGAAGAAGGATTATGAGAAGGTCGATCAGACGGTCGAGAAAATGATCCARTTTTTCGAGAAGCACGATAGCAATTTGGATGAAGATTCTAGACAGAAAATCTACAATTTTTTGCGAGAGGACGTCATGGTGGCTGCTGCAGGAGAAGACAAGGCTAGCCAGATAAAAAAYATGCTCCCCGAAGATTCAAACGAACTCAAAGAACTTTTGGAAAATGGTGGATCATTTGCCTTGAAGGCTCCCGGAGCAATTCGATCGTTGGAATGGTTGGAAACGAACGGCCTGTGCATGGACATGATCAAACCGGGTCCATCGACGATCCCTTATGCGGGACGCGGAGCATTCGCCAATAGAGATATCAAGGAAGGGACATTGGTGGCACCCGTTCCCTTGATCCAAATTCCTGATGAAGCGATTCTAGATATGTATGAGGTCGATAGTATCCTATACAACTCAGAGGAAGTTGAGGAGGACGAAACGGTGGAACCCGATTATATTTGGCATCGGGATTCGGACGAAAAGACAGCGATACAGCTGTTAATGAACTATATGTATGGCCACCCCAAATCAAAGATGCTCTTTTTCCCGGTAGGTGCAGTGGCGAACTACATCAATCATGCTCCATCTAAAGAAMAGATTAATGCAAAGATGGTGTGGTCGGACCACCCTCAGAATCAAATAGATTGGTTGGACGAGGTGCTGAACCCATTTAATGCGATGGGAAGACTCATGATCGAAATTGTAGCCACAAAAGACATCAAAGAAGGCGAAGAAGGTATGRTAGAAGGTTCAATATTRCAGCCTTTTCAAAACGTTCTTGTTTGTTTACCTCGGAAGGCTCTAAATTGATGTCGTTTTTGTTTCCGTCCTTTATCACAATCTAGTTTTCATCGATTACGGCAAAGAATGGCAAGATGCATGGGATCGGCACGTCGAAGATTGGAACCAAAATAAAGAAGATTCTTGGCCAACCCGTGCWCTCGATTTAAATCAAGAACACAAAACGAAACCATTTCGGACAATTGAAGAAGAGGCATATCCGGAGAATGTAATGATTAAGTGCTTTCTCATGGTGAAGAARGCCGACGGCGAGCAAAAGGTAGATAGCGAAGGTCGAAAAACTCGAGAATGGTCCGAGTCAGAAACGGGGAAATCAAACCTCGTCAGCAACAACTTGTTCGATTGTGAAATTATAGCACATAGGGAGACGTCTACTGGCCACTCATACGACATTCTATGGGACAGCGGAAAATCAAAAACGGTAGTCACGAGCGTTCCTCACAAAGCTATTGTATTTTTGGATCGACCGGGTGAAAGCGATCAGAATATTTGGAACAGCTTTCGCCACTACATTAGCATGGGGGATATTTTTCCAGATCTTTGGATGAATGGTTTCTATGAGGATGATGAGGAAGAAAACGCACATGACAGCAATGATGAGGGAGAGTTATAGATCACGTGCCCGGTTCCCGACGAGAGTCAAGCTGTTAGGTCAATTTTTATAATACGAYATTAGCTTTTTTCGCATTATTTTTTCTTCTCTGATTCATTTTTGGATCGCGTCGAACTAGAAATCAATCTACACAAGTGCTTATACGTAGTGTGATTGTCGTGCAGGAGGCGGTAAATCTGTTCCATCTTGAGATTCGGTGTCCACTCCGCCCTGAGATCCGTAGTTGTAGTCCAGGTAGGCTTGCAGTCCGGGACCGAATGTTACCAGAACAGAGTCGTCTGTGTGCCCGGGAGGAAAGGTAACCACTACCGTGCTGCCTTCCCCGTCTTCTTCCCCATCCTCTTCGCTCAGATTGGACACAAAGGGCAATTCTATGCGATCCCTTGAGGCTTCTGGTAGATCCGCTTCCTCTTCGAAGGCCACGGTAGGGATCTCTAGCGGATCCATGGTGAGTTTCGAGTCGTTTTCGAACCGAATGGCCCCCGTGCTATCCTCGGGGACGGACATCGATTGTTGCAATTGCAGGATAGATTTTCGAATTTTGTCGTCCAATACGTGCACGCTGGCGGGCCTTCGGTGGTTCCAAATGTTAACAAGAAACGTGACGCGAAATAATGGCATTGTTGTCGGTTTTTCTTCTTGTGGAACGGCGTCGCATTCCAAAGTTGCATCTTGCTCGTCGCCACAAGAYAAAGACGGAGCAATCGATAGCAGAGATGGGTGGTAGGGGGCCCCGTGCAACAATCTTCCATCGAAGCAAATGTGCTTGCCTATTCGTGGCCGACTGACAAACATGCTGGACATGACCTCGTCCTCGCCTTGGGTRTATGTGTGGTCAAAGACGATCGTCGGAGCAGCCTTCGCCGGGGATGCAGTCAGGTACGTGACTGTGGACAGAGCGGGGAAGGAACCAATGCCAAAGGACTCCGCCAGGGCTTCGTCCTTGTCGTAGTGCAAGTCGATGGAAGACGAGGAGAACTGTGGAGATGCATCAGCGAACTCTCCWGCTGGATCGTCACTGCTACTGCCATCGATCGTGCCGGAGAGGGATTTGACCTGTACCCACCACTCGGCACCTCCTCGGTCATCTCCRGCGTTATCTCCATCGACATTGACGTCCAGAATGTCCTTGTATCGCTCTCGGTGCGATCTATATATGCTCCAAGCAAGGCTTTCAAGCAAGCACAAGCGGTTTTGGCTCGACGGTTTCSAATTCTCATCCGAGTCAAGAGTATCTGGAGTATACTTTCGAACAACAGTCTCGTCTATCCAGAGTGTCTCTTTGGTGTGCCGAATCAGCTCCCTTGCCTGTTCCACCAGCAACAATGCAAGTGTTGCGCTACCACTCTTGTTCACATYTTGTTGTAGGATCGGAATGTCGAACGCTTCTCGAACCAAGTGTTCTGGGGATGGCAGCAACAACGGCGACGAAAYAGAACGTCCAYRGGTGTCGTCGTTTGGAATCACCCCGAGTCGGTCGGCCTCCTCCAATGATTTTTTATACAGCTTACAATTCCCCATGCGGTAGCAATCACAATAGCTCGGCCCCATTCCAACGTATTCGACGTCGTGGTAACCATCGTCGTGGCAAAACTCGGCACATGCCTGGCAGACGCAAAGAGGCGACTGYTGCTGTTCCTGCTGCGCATCGACCGAGGTAGGTGCTGTCGCATCTGCAATTCCGTCGGGACCCACCAGGCACTCGTTACAGAGAAAAATAGCTTGGAATGTGGGATTCGAACCCGTCACTGCCATCGTGCAGAAATGATTTTCTGTCAAGCTGCATGTCTCGTCGTCAGCGGCGACCACGTCGCATTTACCTTTCTCTTTGCACTCGACATGGTCCTCGATGACGGTAGAGTCAGCTGTGCCCGTTGCTTCCGCAATCATTTCGTATTTCACTGCTTCCTCTTTGTGACTTTCTGCATAATATCTGGATAGGTCCTCTGGTCTCGAGAAAAATAGGCTTGCGGGTACAAGACAAGGTCAAGATATTATTTAAAATTGAAGACGCGCTCTTGTGAAGACATGGTGTAATGTTGCTTGCATGTATCGAAAAAAGCTCCTACCGTACTGCCAGGGGTACTGCCTAACGGTACGAGTACCGATACATGATTGATTGGTGATTGATTCGATTCGATCATAACAACGTGATTTTTAAAAATCAAAATCTATGGCTTCGGGAAAGATCCGATCACGAGTTGTCGAGTCAAGGGTACCTGGTACTACTACGACGTCCTGTACTTTTGTACCGTGCTTTACAAAGCCATCCTCGTACTTCGGGTTCTGGAGTCCATTCACATGCGTACCGTGCGGAGGTAGTATCGTACTTATCGTACGTATTTCCAGAACAAAGTCAGCCCGTCTAGGGAAATTGCGACTGCCTCCATACGAAGTCATACGACTAATTTTCAAATAGGCCTTCAGGATCCAATTAATTYGCACGACTGCGCAGGGCACGACGAGAGTGGGGGGAGTAATAGCAACGCAGCATCTATTCGGCGAAAAACTTATCCCAAAGACACGACTCCGAGTAGCGTCGGCAGCATTTYGAAAGGTATCAACAATAAAGCAATAGTCCATTCAGATGGAGCACATAATAGACCACGCATCCGAGAGCTCGCATCGGTTTCGAACACCCGTCCTGAACCGATCCCGCACCGTACGTRCTTCCCAGTACTGTWCATCATAACAATAAGGGACTCACTCGTAATTTTTCCTCCAATACTCGCGAAGCTCTTCCTTYWCAACGTACTGTACCGAGCCTACTSTAGCTACGGAACCGCACGTCACGGGACGTTACTGTACCGTACGAGCTTGCGAGCCGCATCGTCCTTCACAGAAATAGACAACAAACGGAAGGGATGTTRGTAAAAAACTAAGCAACAGAGCACTACATTACCCATTTGAAACAGAAGAGGCGAGCTGTTGYTGTGTGTGGATGCTTGTTCAGCCAACTAATTTCTCATCTATTCTTCAACCAGAAACAGGAAAGAAGAAAAAGTCAAGCCGAGGCAAGACAAGAAATAGGCCTAACCCTGCAGCAAATACAGGTGCAAAACAATACGAAGCTACGTGGTAGGAGCTGTATATTCTTGGATCGGACTCGAAAAACACAGTTATAACAGGAACGGTTTGTTACGATGACGAGAGCAGCACTATCGTCTSTTCTTCTTTTTTGCAGCCTGGCCGCGAGAAATGCGTGCTTTGGTGAAGCCAGGACATCGGCCTCCCACACGAACAGCGGTCTCAGAGCCARGTCCGACAACCGCCAGAGAGGTAGCAAAGACGAATACAGCAATGAAAAMAAGCACCAGTCGGTGATTCGGAGGCTTTATGGACCCGAGAACGGGGAGGTCCGCAAGCACGTTCGAATGATTGAGGAGCGATTAGAACGATCACGAACAGGGTTCTTGGGTGATCCCAATCACGAGATTCCGTACGAGAATCATCCGTACCAGAAGACCTACGATCAACGGCGACGAGAACGAGAACGAGAACGAATTTTACAGGACGAGACGGAATTCGTTAATACTRTAGAACAAGGGGTAGTCAACACAAACACAGCGGGAATCGGTGGGGAGGATCTATACAAACCTATGCGGATCCGCTTCGAAACACAGGCGTTGGACGACACCCGGRATGCAGAAAATGCTGCCAAGATTGACTTTTTCAAGACCCGAATCTTTCCTGAGTGAGTGCTAGACAATCGAAATAGTATTGTTCCGTTCGGTACAATGAAATTCCCAGCTGAGACAGAGAAATGTTGTGCTTCACACAATAAACAGAAAAAYCGCTTCCGTAATAGGAGACTACAGTGTGCTTTTCCTCACCGATTCTCGCCATTCTCACTCAAAACGCTTCTCAATGCACATCTCAATGTGCCTTTTGTATGTCCGTGTGCATGCCATGGTGTGTATTTCTTCTWCGTCTTTGGCATTGCTCTCGTRTCAACTTCATTGGGTTGTCTGCCCGYATATATATTTGTATGAAACACGCATGTGGTTTGATTTATGTTGATTCAGAACTGCCGAGTATTGGTCACAAGCTCTCAGCGTTGTCCCCGTTAGTGGCAACCTTAAAATATCAGCKGCAGAATTGGAGAATCGAGAATTTTGYGGAGATTCCGAGTTTACAAAAGTTCCCACGGAACACATCTCCACTGGCCTTCCCGATGTGGACTTGGTGTTGTATGTGAGCGGGACACCATCCTCTAGGTTTTGTCGTGGTACTACCCTCGCAGTAGCGGTAGCCTGCAATTTCGATCAGTTCGATCGGCCGACAGCGGGTGCCATCAACGTGTGCCTTGATCGGATCGACCTCGACGAGGACGGGACCGCCTCTGATGCAATTACCGAGGACAATGTTGACGTCCTGAAACACGAAGTGGCCCACGTGCTGGGCCATTCCTCCAACTCTTACAGGTTTTATTGGGATTCGGAAACTGGAACGGAGCGCACKCCTCGTCCCTTTGAATCGAGAACGGTGACGTGCGTCGACGACGTGGAGCGATCCCTCATCTTGCCCGGAGAGGATACCATGCAATTTTATGAGGGGAATAATGGCCAGAGATATGCGGCCATTGTCACTCCGAAGGTGCGCGCGATGGCACGAAATCAGTTTGACTGCCAATCGCTACCTGGAGCAAAACTGGAAAACCAGCCCACCGGATCGGAGTCGTGCACTGGTGATCACTGGGACGAACACGACTACTACCCGGAGGCACTCAGCGGAGTCATTAGTCCCACCACCAATATTATGAGTCACATGACGCTGGCCCTGTTCGAAGATTCTGGCTGGTACCGTGCTAATTACACCCAGGGCAGAATGAATCCCTGGGGGTTGGGGGCTGGATGCGACTTCGTCGAAGAGCAGTGCGTTCTCGAAGATACGGACGGAAGCCCCACCATTCCCGAGTATGCCAAGGGATATTTTTGCGACGATGCTTCCAAGCGTGGTTGTTCTCCCGCGTTGACGCACAAACTGGCGTGTTCCGTCATTGATTACTTTTATATTCAGCCACAAACACTACCGGAAAAGCGATTCCAGTACTTCAAGGACGAAATCACTATGGGAGGTCCCCGCCAGGCCGACTATTGCCCTCTCTATGGGAGTACCTATGGAGGGYTGGAAGCYGAACAGCTGGCTTGTACCGACACTGCGAACGCGGATTCGCTCAATATTTACAGCGAGGTGTACGGGAGCGACAGCCAGTGCATTCCGACGGATGGGGGAGATGGACGATGCTACCGAACGGCTTGTGTCAAGGACGAAATGGTATTAAGAATCAATGTAAGGGGAGAATGGAAGGTCTGCGAGTACGACTTTCAGAAACTGGACGTTCGCGTGGGYGCCGGTACGTAATGCRACGCAACAAAGAAACGACTTCCGAGCCGCCGTCGATTGCCGGTCATCATCGCATCAAAGTTGTCTGTGCTCATTCTTGCATTTGCCTTTCTGCCCAATTCCGTCCTATCGCATCCTGCACTGACAGGTGCCCTGCCACAAACTCTTGTCTGTCCACGTTTGAGTACCGCGTGCCCGGACTTGTTTTGTCCATTCAATTGTGCGGGCCGGGGAATCTGCAACTACAACGCCGTTGGGGCGAACGGCACCGTTCATCCAACGTGCGAGTGTTTCGACAGCAGCGACACCTCCTCGGGGTGCTCCAACTCGCTGCTCCCGGGCGGAGACTTTTTGGACAATGCCGATGGACTCCTGGACAACATCGAGGAAGATTTTTTCGATCCCCTGGTGTCCGTCTTTGTCGATCACCCGGACAAGTGGACGACGTCCTCCTGGGCATGGGGGGCGGGGCTGCTGGCCGTCTTTTTGGTGATGCTCCTCTGCATTTGTTCCGCCTTTTGGCCGGAAAGCAAGAACAAGAGAGACATGGARCTGGGGGGTTCCTCTCCCCGGAAGAGGGCCCCCTCCTCGTCTCCTAGAAAATCGTCTCCGAGGCGGTCGTCCACGGGGGTCCGCGCCGCTTCGCCGCGGGCGTCGTCGTCGTCCCGCCGGGATTCCCGGCGGCCTTCGGGGGACCGTTCCTCGGGCAGGGACCGCCATTCCTCCGGGAGGCGGAGGGGGTCCGATCCGCGGTCCTCCTCCGGACGGCGGAGGCCCCAGCACGCTCCCGGTGCGCCGACGCAGTACCACGGCCACGGGAGGCGCCGTTCGTCCCCGCAACACCTGGTGGAAATGTGAGAGGCCTCCGTTGCCGGCCGGGACGGTGCCACTGCCCGGGGCACCGCGGACGGGGGTTCTTTTTGGAATTGCCGCGAGGCAGTGGCAGCTACAACAATGCGCACGCGATCCTAGTAGAGTAGTACAGTACAGTAACTAAGTGGACAATGAAAGCTCTCGATGCAGTTGGTTTGTAAGAACGTAGCTGCGTGCGTGCATGGGGCTAGTCTATCGCTAGTCGCTCCCATACGGCACGGTACACCCGTGCCTGCATTCTGTTCTATGGGGTGCTTTGCTCAGCGGTGCCGCCGCTCCCATCCTGTTGTTTGTTGCTGTTCTGTTGTTGTTYATATGCGGCCTGATCTGCTGGCTTGCACATGCTCTCGTAGGAATAGTGTCCCATCTTTCCGCATTTGTAGCATCTGATGTTGCTCCGATCGCGACGCTGTTGGCGTGGTTCCCCTGAGTTTTGTAGGAACATTACCCCGTCATTCCCTGTTCTTCGGTTGTTGTTAACAGTGCGATTATCGTGTCGATAGTTCACCAGTATGTTCTGTGCCTCCGTAAGGATCTCTTGGTAATTATTCTGTCCCATGAGGAAGTMATTCTCCAGCTTTTGTTTGATTCCTGCATATCTGGAGTGATCAGGGTTCTCCAAGTATATGGTTGCTTGAGTCAATTCCACGGCCTTCTTTTCGATAGCTGCTCTAATGGACCCATTGAGTAGCTTGGTTCTGTCACCACCATAGTCTCTCTCAACAAGGATGTAGTCCTGTATTCCAGTGACATGCATGTCCCCTCCGCATGCTGTTGTTGCTGTTTCGAGGTTCTTGAACTGGTCAAACCACTCAATATCAGTTGTCATCTCTCCTTGTGTGGTCTTGTACAGGTTCATGGTTGCTCTGATGGCTGCAAGTGGTGGGAACTGTTGTGCCTGGTGCTTATAGCATATCTTTTTTATGATACTGAGTAATCCAATGGCGTCTGATTTTTCTTGGACGTTCCTCACGTATCTAGTGTCTGCAGTTACCTTTTGCATCATGGCGTCGGTACATTGTCCACGGATCGTGCTGTACATTTTCTTCATGTCATCATCATATCTCACCAGTAATTTAATGGTGTGGCGCTTGGCAAGCTCCTTGGTAACTGTTAGCTCAATTCCATCCATTGCCGTGATCTTTTCTTTTGTCATGCCAGCTGTTGGGCTGTTTGCCTCCATGATGATGTGCACACATTTGATRTTGTTGGCAGCTTGGCAAACCTCAGCTCCATATGTTCTGCTGGCATATTTGACTGGTTCCTTTTTGGTCTTCATGTATCTGGAGGCCTGGGTTACACCTACATCAAAGATATGTCCAGTTAAGTCATCACACCTTTCTTTAAATGGATGTGATGGTAATCTCCCATGTGATTTGGTTCCTTTCTTCTTATTGTATTGAGATTGGTGAGCTCCTTTCCATGGGATCTTGACTTTGTATCATCTGCCAACTTTCCTTCAGCTGATTTGTTGTCTGCCATGATCTAATCTTGTGAACTTACACTGTTATCAGTGTATCTGCCCCTCTTGTTGCTGCTGTTTCCTTTATAGTTTTATGTTGAATTCATACATTATGTCACCAAATCCATAAGTGTAGAAAGCCTAAAAGYGTTCTCCACCACTGTTGACTAGATTAAACTATAAAGATTGAGGACACTGTCCACTTATCCTAAAATCACTAAATTCCCCATTCTGGTTCACGYATTCACACAACACATATACACTCCAGTGGTTGCTCGCTTATGCTTGCTAAATCCATYCATGATGTCCTCATA